TCAGTTATTTCAGTTATTATTATTATTCAGATGTGAATTTAATTCGACAGCTGTACAGAAGCCTGGCCGTTGTAGGGTGCTTGTCTGCAGTTGAAGTTAATTCAGCTGTGGTTTATCTGCCTATTTCAGCAGCTGCACAGCGGAAATAAAATAATCACAACAACATCTAGTTTGGAAAAGTACAAATTACTGCTGTTTGTCTTTGCTTTGCATCAAGCCTGCTGCCCCCCAACATCAGCCAACAGTTTAACTTGTTGCATCCATTTAATGCATAAAACCTGCAGTGCAACTTCTCTCCTGTTTTGTCACCTTTCAGGTGAGCGGAGCCGTGGGGAGCAGAATGTGTTTTTAATTCGTTTGAATGCAGTCCTGGATGCAGGTCTTTAATTACATGCGACTGTGAACAACAGTCAGCCTTGATGATGAGGACTCCCCTCACTCTTGCCAGCGTGCACATTAAAACTCTAATCACCAGCCCTGCAGCCTGCTGCACCAGGAACTCACAAACATGTTTACCAGCCCAGTCTCGCCTATGCTGGTGCAAATGTATCACATAGCTCTGAGAAGCAGAGATGTATAGAATGCATGCTGTCCTCTGGTGATCAGTGAGATGTTTCCATGGAGATTTGTCCAATCACACTGTAGGGAAAGTCAGTTTTCTAAAATCATCTATGAAAGACAAATGTATCAGTGCTTGTGCTGGTGTATTACAAGGCTCTAGGCAATAGTGACATATGGAATATATGCTGTTATTTAGTAATCAATATGATGTTTCCATGGAGACAAGTCCAATCACACTGTCTGAGAAGTCAGTTTTGTGGACTGGACAGATACTCTCAAAGGTCAAACTATAAGTCCAGGTTAATGTCAGCTTGAAAGCCTGCAATTACTTGCGGCAAGCTGGTCACGAAGGCTCCTTTGTTATTACGTAGGCTTGAAACACCAGTAAAGCAGTAAAGAACTGAGATTTGTGGATACATGGCTCCTACGTCTTCTCTTACATTATCACATAAATGTCATTTCATCTCGATTCGTCCAAAGTTAGCACATATGAAGGCTTAGCTCTGTCATTCATCAAAATAGAAGCACTTTGTGTCATGTAGAATCTAGAAACTAGTATGCTAATTTCTTTTATACTGATGATAATTCAATAATGTATAACTGGATGTTAAAAAGATCATTCAGATCTACAATGGAGCATTTCGTTTGATGTGAAGTGCTCGGTGACACTTTATTTTGAGTGGCCCATTTCAGATTAAATAAACACTCGACAGACTCTCAGTAACATATCAACAACATATCAATGATGCAGCAGTGAATACATTCAACAGATTATCAAGAGACTCTTATTTTTCACTTTATTTGGAGTTTATATTTGTAGATATGAACCTGAGAGGTCACTGAACGTGTAACAGGTCTAATACACACCATCTCAACATCCTCAACAAGCTGTTTTAGACACACTGCTGAAACCATTCTATAAGTGGAGTTTAACCAGACTAGGTTTTGGTTAAGGTTAGGACTAGGATTAGGACCAGAGTGAGAATTAGGGCCAGAATGACGATTAGGATTAGGTTTTAGGTTGAGGTTAGGGTCAGGATTAGGGCTAGGGTTAGGATTAGGTTTTGTTTTGAGGTTAAAGTTAGGATCAGGGTTAGGTTTTGCGTAATTGAAGTAACATATCAAGTCCATTTCATGTAACATATCAGTAATATAACTACTTAATGTAAGTAATGCATCAACAGTACATCTTCAAGATATTTACCTCAGTGTATTCAGATGCTGCACTGCTTCTACTTCACTGATGTGTTACTGATAGTCTGTTAAGAGTCTATTGATAATCTACAAAGGACCGCTCAAAATAGTGTTACCAAAAGCTCCTTTGTAGAGAAACTTACAGAGAAAGAATTGTTCACCATAGTGAACAATTCTAAAAGTCTAATTTTTTTTGTAAAACATGCAGATTACCATCAATATCACATATAAAAACTCAGAAGGCAAGCGCAAGTGGCCCCTGAATCCTATCATCACCATTATGAAAAAATCAGTCACTAAGATTCTCTACAATGTGCTGTCAGATTCTGTATTTCCGGGCTTATTTCATGCTTTTTTTTAGATGCGTGTTATTTAGATGTAGGACATCTTGCCTCAGTCTGTTATATTGTAATTCATATGGCCTCATCAACCATATGGAAGTCTATCATTTGTCAACACCTCACAGCTTGTTGTCTATATCTAATCAACATTCATGTCTATGGCCTATACACCATAATGTTAGTTAGATGTAGGGTGACCATATTTTAGTTTTAAAAAAGAGGACACCAGGGACAGGAGGGTGGCACAGGTTGGATTATAGAAAGCAAATGTCAACCGGAAAGCAAAGCCAAATCCTGAAAAAAAGTAGGAAATTCTGAAATCCCAGCTAGATACATTTTTAGGTCTCAAAAAGAAGACGTGCTGAATATTTTCGTAAATGTACATACTGTCTGAGTTTACTGCAAAGTCTCAAAGAAACTGCCATCTAGAAGCACCATTTTCACATCAAACCACTCTGAATGACTTTGTTTACATGTCTACCATTGAATTACACAGAAATTTGGAAAATTCAGTGGGGTTTCCCTTTAAACTCTTTTACTCAGAAATTTTTTTCTACATTTATAACAAAAAAAATCTCAGTTTATGTATTGTTAATGTGTCTGCATATTTAATCAGGTGATCCTCATTTTGCTGTCAGAATAAAAACTTGTATCTACAGTTTTGTTATATTAACTCACATTCAAGTTTTTTTTTCTGTAATGTTTTGGAGAGGTAACTCTGCAAGGGTTTGTTCTGACAGTGACCATGTACACTATGTGGCCAAAACTATGTGAACTCCTGACCATTGCACTTATATGAGCTTTTAGGACATTCCATTACAAATGGCCACTAACCTAGAGCCCCCTTTACAGCTATAACAGCCTCCACTCTTCTGTGAAAGCTTTCCACAAGATTTTGAAGTGCTTCTGTGGGAATTTGTGCCCATTAAAAAAAAAAATTTGTGAGGTCAGGCGCTGATCTTGGACAAGAAGGCCCAACTCATGCCACAATCAATGTTCCAATTAATTCCAAAGGTGTTTAATGGAGTTGAGGTCAGGGCTCTGTGCAGGTCACCAGGGGGTTCCTCCACACCTAACTCATCAAACCATGTATTTATGGACCTTGCTTTGTGCACAGGGGCACAGTCATACTGCAACAGGAAAGGGCCTTCCCCAAACTGTTGCCACAAAGTTGGAAGCATACAATTGTCCAAAATGTCTTTGTATACTGTAACATTAACATTACCTTTACTGGAACTGAAGGAGCTGAGCCCAAACCCTGAAAAACAGCCCCAGACCATTATCCCTCCTCCACCAAACTTTACTTTTGGCACCAAGTATTCCAGTAGGCAGCATTCTCCTGGCATCTGCCAAACCCAGATTTGGCCGTCAGACTGCAAGGTAGAGAAGCATGATTCATTACTCCAGAGAAAACATCACTGCTCCAGAGTCCAGTGGCGTGCAGTGCACCGCTCCAGCTGATGACTGGCATTGCACACAGTGATCTACGGGCTTATGTGGTGCTGCTCGGCCGTGGAAATCCATTTCATGAAGCACCGATGCACAGTTCTTGTGCTAATGTTGCTTCCAGAGGAATTTTGGAAGTCTGAGTAATACAACAGAGGATAGACAATTTTTACATGCTATGTGATTCAGCTCTCTGTGGCCCTGCTCTGTGAGTTTACATGGTCTACTGCTTTTTGGCTGAGCCGCTGTTGCTCTTAAATGCCTCCATGGCATTATAGCACTTACAGTTGACTGGGGCAGATCTAACAGGGCAGACATTTCACAAACTGACTTGTGGCAAAAGAGGCATCCTGTGACAGTGACAGTGTTTAAAGTCACTGAGCTCTTCAGTATGAGCCATGTTTGTCTAAAGAAAAAAACTGCATGATTATGTGCTTGATTTTATATACCTGTTAGCAATGGGTGTGGCTCAAACACCTGAACACAGTAATTAGAAGGGATGTCCACACATTTTTGGCCACATAGTGAATAAATGGAATCGTTAAGAAAACATCAAATACATAAAACAATAGCATTAAGGTAACTCAATTAACTAGCAATGCTTCACTGTAATATCTATTGTTAAAAAAAGAAAAAAAAACTCTAATCACTAGTAATAAATAATCGTGAGCTACTTAGTGGGTGATTAAGATGAGAATCTGTTTCTGTGATTAATCCAACATGTTCAGTATGAAGAGACACAGTAAGGGTTTGGTCATATATAGCATTTATTTACACATTTCTTTCTATTTACAGATCTTTGAAAAGTCATTGTTCTGTACACAAATTTTAATTCAAGAACATTTCAGAAAACTTCTGACACTCTTCTAAAAGCCATCGTTTCTGAGCACGGAAGTCATGAAACGATCCTAATCTGGCATCCAGGACCACCCCTCATCCACTGCCCACCCAAAGGGAGGACACTCCAACACTGGAGGAAACAAGAACAGATGAAAGAGAGAAAGGGAGCCATAGTCAGAGCGAGAGACATAGAGAAAGAGAGAAAGGAAAACACGCAGCATGGTACATGTCCAGTAATGTTAGTCTTTGGACAGCACGTGTCAGTTAGCATGATTAGCACGAGTCTTCTTCAAGCTGCGAGCTCTCTGCTGAAGAGCAGAGCCGAGGTGCAGCACTCACAGAAAGAAAACTGCTCTGTGAGCGAATGTTCCAGCTGAAAATGTTCTGCTCTTCAAAATTAATTTTAAATTATCATTATCATTAAAGAAAAATAAATATTTCGGATGGTAACCTCTACATCTGAAGTTAGGCACAACTTAATAGGCTCATGTAAACAGTATATAAAAAGGAAAAAAAGCAGGATTTAAAAAAGCTGATTTAAGGAATACGTTTAATACAAAACAGAGGAAAATAGTTTGAGTGCAGTTTTTCTATTCACAGATATCGTCAATTATTTACTTTTTTTTTTTTTGAACTGGCACAGAAATTTAAAAGCCTGACAAACATGATCAGAAGCAGAGCAAAAAGTTTGAATACTGCAAAGATCTGCTTTGTCGAGAGCGGACTGCCCTAAACACACTTACTAATGACAGCATCATGCGACGAGTATGGATCTTTACGCCAAACAGGAGCTCAAAATGACAGTCCGTTAACTGAAAAGGCTAATTTGTTGGAGCAGCTATTATTGTATGCTCCAGCCATCTCCAACAGCCGTTGGCTCTCTGTTCCCTAGCAGAACAGGCCTCTTTCATGTTTCAGGGTTGACACTTCCATCGGTTTCTAAAAATGCAGGTAACAACATTTCCGGCTGAAAAAAAACAAACATCCTTTTGTTGTATCCCTCAGAGCCAAAACTCCTAACAAAAACACCGTAAACTGGACTTATTCAATTCCTGATTCCTGAGCACACGTTACAGTCAGTGTGAATTCAGGCAATTTGGAAAGTTTATTAAAATAGATTGTGGTTCATCACTGTAGCATCAATTAAATTATTTTATTATATTTTATTATTTTATTTTATTACTATTTTCAAAATATAAAAAGTCCTACATGGTAATATCAATAAACAAACTGAAGTTTAACTTACCAGTTGTGGTCAGACATGAGTGATGACTGCATTACAACTTCAACAAGTGATGGGTGCAAATGTAAACATATCAATTTACTTTAAAATTAGGATCCTCTAGTCTTCAAACTGCCTGGATTCACTGTGAATGTCACGTGTACTTGATTGGAAAGTGATAGAACAGCCAGTATTCCAGACTGATAGGGCTCATTTTGTTTGGAACTGAGGGCAGCCCTAACTAAATGCCTTAAAGCAGGATGCTTAGCTGGTAGCACAGAGGAGTGCATTTGAAAACATACATTATTATTCGAATATATTCGGCCTTGGCCATAAAACGCCAGGAGATTGTTGGTAACACTTTGCTGTAGGTCATGTTCATAAGGCTTCATGACACCTACATAAACTCATTATGACAACTGACAAACTTACATAAAAATTCATTTAGGTTTACTACAACAGTCGTTGTCTAATGTCATTAAGGCTGCTTTTGTCAACTTTGATGTCAAGTTAACAAAACATCTATGTAACTCTACATGGTTAAAGGGGACTTGTCTTCTACACAATCTTTTCTCCTCAGTTAATTGTGTGATAAGTATGCTGGCTTGTTAAGGTATCACTAGAAGCCATTACAGCTTTGAATTTTTTAGCCAGAATTGCAACCCAATTTGCTGTACTTCCCATACAGCCTTGTTGACTGTGATATTTGTTATGCTTAGACCGGAAATGTAGTTACCTGCTTCATAGCTGGCAAGCTGGAAGTAAAAAAAGGCCTACTGGAGTAGCCAAATTAAGGCAAATCTTGTTTAATCTATTAAAAAAAAGAAAAAATAAACAGTAAAGTGTTCAGGGAAATGAACATCATGGCTATTGTTCTAACACGGAGGCAGATATATTCACCCTAGTAACGCATTCCATCTCACCGCCAGTTCAGCAGTCTGGCTCCTGAGGTAGACCTAGGTTTAAATAAAGTGTTCTTTGATTCTACTTGCAGGGAGTATTCTTGCACAGCTTCTGTGGCTGTATGGATGAGCGTCTATATTCTGTCTTCCTGTCTGAGTAATGCCTAATTATTGCCTTTAATGCAGTGCACTCCTGACCAGCAACCGTAACGGCGCTTCTGCAATGGAGACCACTGAGTGCAGAAGTGCACATTCAAGCTTTTTTCGCTTGGTATAGAAGATTTGTGCCATTAGAGACGCCTCTCACTATCCTCACACTCATACACACAGTGTCAGTATTTCCTTCTAAAGCCAGGCTGGAGAGCTCAGCGTTTTCTAATGAACTGCTAAAATTGTATCAGCCTACACAAAACACCTCCTTAGCCTGGAAATCTATTAGGTGGCTTACCTTTTTAGGAACAGGATTTCAATAGCATAGAAGGGGGAAAAAGTGATTGGGTCTATTAGGAGGTTTAGGAGAAGTCTTTTCTTTTGATGGACAGGTGACAGTTGACGTCTGGAGTGCTCACGTTAGTAAGAACAGAGAGAATTGGAGGAACGGTAGGCGAGAGAGCTGTCCATGGAATCAATCCCACAAACACACTCTACATAATGAAGGGGTAGCAATCAGGAGCCTTTGGGGTGGGCCGGTGGGGGCTCATTTCAGTAGCAGTGCTGTGGGGGTCCCTCAGCCAGCCTCATCTCTTGTAGTGATTGGGAGCGTCTGCAAAGGCGAACTTCAGTCGGTAGGCTTCAGCCAGGAGCACGCTCACCTCCTCGTTGCCCCAGTGCATGGTGGGTAGGTTCTGCAGAAGGATCATCAGGCCCTGTCATGGACAGAGGAAGAACACAGGAACTGGTTAGAAAAGTGTAACACGCTGGTCTACCAGTCGACAAAGTCCACTATGCCCACTATGTGAAAATCTCCAGTTTTTTCTGATTTCACAGAATTTTCTGTATAATTCAATTAGGAGATGTAAGTCATTCAGTGCGTTCTGATGAGAAATGTTACATAGTAGAGAAATGTACCAAATCAGATTTTTTTACAATAGTGCTTAAAAGGAACAAGGGGTTTATTGTTTTATTTACCTTCCAAAATGACCAGTGAACCTACATGCACACATCTTCTGAGTTTTTATAGTTGATAGTGGTAAATCTGAAATTTTCTTTGGGGACTATTTTGCCTTACAACACCCTGCATTTACCCCTCTACCATAAATGGATTTAAAAAATGTTTCCAAAACTATTGTAAAACAGTGTCTCAGGCATGATGCAGCATATTCGTAGCATCTCTGGAATGGTGAATGTCACATCAAATGTTTTGTTGTGCTCTTGTTTACATCATAATGACTGAATTTTGCAGGTGTTCTGAAAAATTATTGGAATTCCCCTTTAATGTTGCATGTGTGGCCTACAACTGTTTATTCTGTGCAGTAATGCTGACATCTTTCCCTGTATTTAGTAAAAAAAAACAGAAAACCCATAGACTCAAAATACACACACAATACTAGGGAAACAGCAGATGCTGTGACTGGGGCTGTCACACAGGTCAAATATAGCGATCGAGTGAAAGCAGTTCTCAATTTTCATCACTGATGTTCAGTGAGAGCAACAGTGGCTGCATGTTAATCGCTGCAAAAAACAGGTATTGTGCACTAAAATTTGCAGAAAAATGCCATAATTAAGTGTGTTAACTTATTGTCACTCAGAATATCAACAAAACATGCAATGTGACCAGTGGTGTTCAAACGTCTGCGTATGACTGTACTGCTTTAAAAGTCATTTTTGAGGGACGGGGGTACAGTCTCAGATTCCACTGGAGCAACATACTACACATGAGCGGCTGGGCTTCAGCCTGCACTACTACAGATGGCTTGAGAGGTCAAACTAGGAAAATGTGTTCCTGCCCTGATTTTGAGTCAATGTTTTTTTCTGTTCTTTACTGTTTAAAAGGTCAATTACCATACATCTGTGGTAAATGACTATGATGCTACAGATGAGCATTCGCAGTCATTCTGACAGATTGGAATTAACTACAAGAAGTGTAGGGGGCTACATGGCTTCTATTGCTGCACTATAAAAGAAGATATCTCTTGTTGCACAGAAGGAACTGAACGACTGACTGCATGAAACGAAAAAAGTAGATTCATTAGTCGATTAATCGAATAACAGTCCATTATTGAAGTTGCAGCCCTAACACATACACACAGACACATCTCACCCAAAATCATACTGAGGAATACAGTGTTGCTAGGGGCAACCTTGTGTCTGGCTTCACTCTGCTGGGAAGTGAGCAGAGAGGAGCAGGCGAGTGAACGGCGGGACAGCCGTGCTTCACAGAGCTGTTTATTTTTTATTTCAGCGGGGTCAAGCTGTGCCACTGGCGAGCGCCGCCATGCACCTCTAAATTATTTTAACTTTCAATCAGCGCGTCTTTGCCTTCTCAATCTTCACGTTGCGCTGAGGAGTGTGAGCTGCCTGTCAAGCGGTCTGCGTGTGTCCCTATGGCGCCCGTGCGGTCAGGACCCCGCGAGGAGAAGCCCATTTCTCTTAGGTATAGAGAGCCAAGTCTAATTCACTCAAGCCGGCGCCGGCCCAGCTCCAGGCCCAGCAAACCCTCCAGTCAATGACTGCATTAGAGGAGCTTAGAGAGGAGGCGCAGCCTCAATCTCCCAGCCTAATTCACCTATCCTGCCTGCCGTGATGAAGGGGAATGACTCTGCTTAACACTCCATCAGAGAGAGGGAGAGCCAGAAAGAGAGAGAGCCTGAGAGAAGAGATAAAGAGAAGATGACAGAAAAAAGAAGAGGGAGAAATAGATATGATTGCATTTTTGGTTTTCAGGTAGGTAGCGAATTCAAAGTGCCGAAGCATGGAGGGAAAAAAAAGGACCAGGCCAGGACTACAAAAAAAGAGTATGAAATAGTTTTCGCACAAAGTGTCACGCACTCAGTGAGGCCACTATTCACTGTCAAATATAATGAGTGTCAATGGAGAAAGCATATGAGAAGGCATTGGTCTGCAATAATTAGCTTGTGAATAGTCAATTGTTGCACACACAGCAGATTTGTGGCTGTAAATACATTAGTGATGATAGGAAACAGGTGTTGCAACGTCTAAAACACCAATATAACCATTTCATGTACCATCCAAAAAGATCAGTGAAACTACAGGTATGTTCTGAGTTTTAATATGCATTGTTGATAATGGTAAAATAGTGATGAATCTGAAAAAATACATTCTTTGGGGACTATTTTGCTTTATAGCACCATTCCATGTACCTCTCAGTCATGAATGGATTTTAAAAACAGGTTTTTGGTCAAAAGCTTATCTCTGAACTATGGTTAAACAATGTCTCAAATATCAGGCAACATATTAGTAACCATTTCATGTAACAGCTTCCAGTGATGTAGCTTTTAGAGGCTTCAGATGTCTGGTTCCTATCAGCACCACTGTTAACAATTTTGATTCTGTAAGCTTTCCAGAGTTAAGCATTTCACATCAATCTCCGAATCCATGGTTTACCATATCAAACATTTTCTTGTATTTCAAGTATTTCCTTGAGGACCACTTACAATGTTTCTGGGGTTTTACGTCAGTCATAATTCATTTTTACACAACCATTTCCCAACCTTTCATTATCCCTTAGAAAAACAGGCTATTTTTGTTAATGTACCTTTAAGACTGACATATGTAAAAGACATCTGATCAACTGCCCTGTATTGTGCCTCATTTAACAAGCAATCTAGGCTGAAGCACACCATATGACTTTGATGTTAATGGGCGGGGCCAAATTGCTGTAGGCTGAATAGGTGGATGTATATAAATGGGTTATTTTCTGTGACACCACAAAAACAGTTCAAATAGCCTGTTTTTGCACCTTAGTGTTCATATATGGGCTGTATGGAGTGGGAAGTAAATAGTTTACTTTGAAACTGACAGTGTTTACATATATCATATTTATTTATGTCAAAAAGTAAAGAAAATGTTTTTTCATGATATGCAGAAATTGTGAAAATCAACAGAATTCCTTTTAGTTGCAAATACAGAAGGGAAGAGAAGAGAGAAGCAGATATGCATCTAAAGTCCCTTTTTAATCTATAAAGTGTCAGAGACCCAGTTAGTGTGCAGTATTCTCTGTCAAATATAATGTCAAAGCAGCAAGCGTCTTACAAAGCTCTGGTCTGCAATAAATAACTTTTCAAGATTTGAATGGTCACTTACTGCACACAGCAGATTTGTGGCTGTAAACATCTATTATTCTGTTATGATAACCAGGAGGGAAAAAGGAAAGAGAAACAAAGAAATATGATTGCATTTTTGATGATCAGCTACAAATTCAAAATACCAAAACTTAAAAGAAAAGCACAAAGTCAAAATCATAAAGAAGCACAAAGCAGTTTTTGCACAAAGTATCAGAGACCCAGTTAGAGTGTAACAATCTCTGTCTAATGTAATGAGAGCCAATGGAGCAGGCATATTACAATGATTTTTCAAGATCTGAAGAACAATTTTATGTAAATGTAAATGATTATTCTTCTGTTATGATCACCAGGACTTAAAAAGAAGGAGCAATATTTAGACATGATTGCATTTTAGGTATCACAAAATCAAAGAGGCAATCCTTAAAAAAAAACTATGTAAATGGCTGTAAATACAGAATTAGAAGTGAGAGCTTAAAGAAGCTTTAAGACGTGCAGTATTCTCTGTCAAATGTAGAGTATAACAGGAGCATGCATATTACAGTGACTCTTTAAGACCTGAAGAGCCATTTTAAAGGCTGTAAAATGGCTATTTTGGTTGTTCTGGTGATTTTTGGCGTATAGGTGTTAAACTAAAAGAGCCAAAGCTCCTTAAAAAGAACAAAGTCAAAACTATGTAAATGTAACTGGCAGTAAATGCAGGAGGAAAAGGGAGGAAAACAAATGTGGAGAGCAAATTCGAAGAGCCAAAGCTTAAACATTAAATAAACAAATAAAAATCAGTCAAGGACACAGTTATGCCATATTCTCTGTATATCGTAATGAGTGTCACTGGAGGAAGCATACCGTAGCGCTCTGCTGTGCAATAAATAAGTTTCCAGGATATGAAGTTATTTATTTTGAACAACAGATTTCACTGTAAATATTTATGCAACTGTTATGATAACCATGAAAGAAAAAAAAATACAGAAGAAAAATGATTATGTATAGACACAGAAAACACAGTTTTCTATAAAAGGCTTTCACACAATGGTCCAGTGTCTGAGAGTTAGCAACCGTATCCAAGGAAGAAGTAGAGACATGGATGGGTCAACTGTGAAACGACACTTAAGATTACTACTTTCTTCCCATATCTGAGGCAGAAACAACACAAGACATAGAATGGATGCTGCAAAAGAGCAAAACAAAACAAGCAAACAAAAAATATGTTTAGAATTGGCTCAGAACAGCTGCACTGGCTCTGTTCACTGTGGATATGACAGGTGAGAATGCAGCAGCTGTTAGAATTCTGACTGCATTTCTCTAATCTGTATTCAGCCAGGCAGCACGGCTCGATCATTTTTATCAGCGTTCACACTCAAATGTTCGCTCAAACACGTCGGCTCCCACAGGGAAAACAATGAGATAAAAAAAAAAGAACACAAAGTGAGATAACATTATTAATGTTTGTATTACAGAAATGTTCATTAGGATATCTGAACAGCTTTTCATTCCATTCAGCTATTTCTAAAACAAATGCAGGTGCCAGTAAACAAGTCGGTAAATAAAAAACAAGAGTGAAAAACTTCCCAGCAGGATTGCCATCAGTGCGTATGTGCTGCATTACGAACACAAGGACAATCCTG